CAAAATAAAGGCAAACAATGTTGGAGCATTTTCTGCTAATGCCCCAGTGGAGTCTCACTTGACCTTTAAAAATGGTTTTGAGGCAGGGCCTTCAAACAAAAATGATGACAATGCCGAGGCAAATCTTGCTTTGAATGATGATAATTTTCAAGGCCTCGATGATCTTACTCATTTGGAAGTTGAAGATTTCTTTGGAGGTCAAAACTGAAGTTTGATCATTTTACTGGGGAATGCAATTATGTTGTTATTTTTATTTTTAGTGTTTTTGTCTCGTCTAAAGTTGTTTTTATTTTCAAGTAGTACTTAAGTTGTCTTATGTTGTCATTGGTGATGTTAGTTTTTCCGTATTTATCATGATGTACTTTAATTTTTTTATGAAGAAAATAAAATTCCCCAATCTTCAATTGGATCCAAGATGAGTAATGAAGATTTATGTCTTTGGATAGTGCTACAACTCACACAATATTAACAGAAAAGAAATTTTTCTCTTATTTGGTTATGAAAAAGGCCTATGTTAATATAGTATCTGGTAGTACAAAGTTGATTGAGGGCTCTGGTAGAGCGGCCTTATTACTACCTGGAGGAACGACATTAACTATTGAAAATGCATTGTATTGTGTAAGTCTCAAAGAAACTTATTGAGTTTCAAAGATATTCTCCAAAATGGCTACCACGTTGAGACATCAAACGAAGGAAATGTTGAATACCTTTATATTACTACAATAAAAGCGGGGAAAAAATATGTTCACGAAAAATTACCCGCGTTTTCTTCTGGATTGTACCACACAAACATTGGTGTGGTTGAATCACATGCCATAGTAAACAAAAGGTTTACTATGGCATAATGATTTTATCATTTGGCATGACCGGTTGAGCCATCCCGGTTCTAACATGACGCGCAGAATAATAGAGAATTTAAATGGGCACACACTGAAGAACAAGAAGATTCTTCAATTTAAGGAATTCTCTTGTGCTGCTTGTTCTCAAGGAAAATTAGTTATTAAACCATCAGCAACTAAAGTTGGGATTGAATCCCCTGCTTTCTGGAACGTATACAGGGTGTTATATGTGGGCCTATACACCCTCCATGTGGACCATTCAAGTATTTTATGGTCTTGATAGAAGCATCTACAAGATGGTCACATGTGTGTTTATTGTCACTCGTAATATGGCATTTGCGAGATTGTTGGCCCAATAATAAGGTTAAGTGCACAATTTCCAGATTATGCAATTAAGACAATTCGTCTTGATAATGCTGGTGAATTTACATCTCAGGCCTTTATTGATTATTGTATGGCCGCTGGAATACAAGTTGAGCATCCGGTTGCTCATGTTCATACTCAAAATGGTCTAACAGAATCATTGATTAAACGCCTCCAATTAATAGCTAGACCATTTCTAATGAGGACAAAACTTTCCCTTTTAGTGTGAGGACATGCTATTTTGCATGCAGCAGCACTTGTGCGCATAAAACCAACCAGTTATCATGAAGTCTCCCCTTTACAGTTGGCTTTTGGTTAGGAGCCAAATATTTCCCATCTAAATTTTTTTGGATGTGCGGTATATGTTCCAATTGCTCCACCACAACGCACAAAGATGGGTCCCCAAAGAAGGTTGGGAGTATATGTTGGTTATGAATCTCCTTCTATTATTAAATATCTAGAGCCTATGACAGGAGATTTGTTTACATCCAGATTTGTTGATTGTCATTTTGATGAATCAATTTTTCCAACATTGGGGGGGGGGGGGGGAATAAACAGCTGGAAAAAGAGATAGATTGGAACGTATTATCTCTATCAAAAGATCATTTATATGCAAAATATTGCAAATCAATTGCGAGATGCATTTACATAACCAACAAAACTTTGACAATATTGTTAGAATAAACAAATCTATCAATGATTCTCTTGTAATATATTACTAATTGCATTCCAATGTCTCCATATCGAATTAAAGTTAAATCTTGCTAGTATAGCGACATACTCAAGGTTAAAGAAACATAAGTGCACTCATTGCACTAAGACACAAAAATAAATCATATATGTCATACATGGATTGTTGAAGCTTTATTTAACAAAATTTTCGCATATCAAGTTTTTCATGTATTTTCATATTAAAACCTGAAAACAATTTCATCCACCACAAGAGAACCTGTCTCCATATAACTAATGCCAGGATATTTACGAAAAATCGTGTGTCACAAGTCGTCTTTATGTCTATCGACTTGATTTTTCATTTCACTTTTTGCACAATGGACTATCCGTCCAATTTCATATTTTTCAGGTGAAGTCAAATTTCATTGCGCATTTTTCATTTGGCCAATCATTTATCTGTCCAAATTTCATGACAGATTTAAGCTAAAGATCCTCGTCAATATTAATAATATTGAGTGCTACATTATATTAACAACATCGTCGGCGATCATTTTACAACGGTTCCATAAAGATCCATTTCGGCCTCAAGAAAATGATGAAGAGCTCGTTGGTGATGGAAGTCCATATCTTAGTGCAATTGGGGCACTGATGTATCTTGCCAACAATACCCGACCAGATATTGCTTTTGCAGTATTCTTATTAGCAAGATTCAGCTCCTCCCCAACAAGAAGACATTGGAATGGTGTTAAGCATATATTTAGATATCTTCGGGGAACTATAGATATGGGATTGTTTTATTCTAATGAATTCAAGTCAGAAATGATTGGCTATGCCGATGCAGGTTATTTGTCTGATCCACATAAAGCCCGATCTCAAACAGGATATTTGTTTACATATGGAGGTACAACTATATCATGGCGTTCGATGAAACAAACAATAGCTGCCACATCTTCAAATCATGCTGAGATAATAGCCATTCATGAAGCTAGCCGGGAATGTGTTTGGTTGAGATCAATGACTCAACATATTCAGGAAATGCGTGGCTTACTTATGAAAAAGGATAATCCAACTACACTATATGAAGACAATGCTGCTTGTATTGCTCAACTAAAAGGAGGATACATCAAAGGAGACAGAACAAAGCACATTTCACCAAAGTTCTCTTTCACGCATGATCTTCAACAAAATGGTGAAATTAATGTTCAACAGATTTGTTCATGTGAAAATTTGGCTGATTTGTTCACTAAGGCATTACCATCCTCAACATTTGAGAAGTTGAGACAGAAGATTGGAATGCGGCGTATTCGAGAAATAAAGTGATGTTTTCGTGAGGGGGAGTAAGATACGCGATGTACTCTTTTTCCCTTAGCCTACATTTTGTCCCACTGGGTTTTCCTGGTAAGGTTTTTACGAGGCAGCAAATAAAGCGTATTACAGATATGTGTACTTTTTTTCCTTCACTAAAATTTTTTTCCCACATGGTTTTTCTTATTAAGGTTTTAACGAGGCATATTATCTATTTTTGGACATCCAAAGGGGTGTGTTATAAAATATTTAGTAAATGTGGATGCCCACTACTCCCACTACTTTCACCCATGATGTAAATAACCTCCCACTACTAATCACCATTATGATTGTACCTACCACACCTCCATAACCCTTCCCCATGATCTTCCCCCATGATCTCAATTGTTAATGTCAAATTTTAGACCATTATTTTGTAACCTTCATATGTAATAGTATAAATAGAGGCATGAAATGTGAAATGTAATATACTTGAACACTTGATGAAATAAGAAAGTTATCTATTCTTCTCTTATTCTACTTATCTTCTTATTTTATATTGTTACTTTGAGCTACATTTCTTAACAAGTCATGTATTTTAAACTATTGTAACCAGGTCACCTGTCTTGTTTTGGGGGTTACTAACTCCACATCTAATAGCCTGTTTGGCCAAGCTGTAAGAAATAGCTTATTTTGAGCGTTTTTTATCAAAAGTATTTTTCTCAAAAGTACTTTTGGTGAGAAACAGTTTCTGTTTGACTAATTAATTTGAAAAACACTTTTGAGCAACAATTAGTGTTTGGCCAAGCTTTTAAAAACTACTTCTAAGTATATTTTTCTCAAAAGTGCTTTTCAAAAAAGTGCTTTTGGAGAGAAACTACTTTTTTCTGCTTCTGATTCTCCACAAAAGCACTTCCTTTTTTTTTTCCAAAAGCTTGGCCGAACAATTCAACTTTGAAAAAAAAGCACTTTTTAAATAAAAAAAAAAGATGCTTCTAGAATAGGAGAAGCTTAGCCAAATAGGCTATAATTATCTTTTAAACAATTTGATAGTGTAAGTTTTTTATTACACTATCGTTGTATAGAAGTTAGTTAAATCTCAAATACTAATCTGGAGATGATACTAGCTAGAATGGCATGAGTAATGCAGTGCATGCAACCCGATTTAATTCTTAAAAAGTCTAACTTAATTAAATAATTGTAAAGCATTTGCGCTGCCTCTCAACAACCAGCAGATCTAAACTAGGCAAAACACTAGGGAGAAAATCAAACGCATGTGAGTGATTTGCTACATTTTCTCGGAGTCAACTCTATACTGTTAATATTGATCACCTGCGCCTCATTGCCCAAACACAATTGTATAAAGCTTTGTAATATTGTGATGCTAAAAAACTCAGCAACTTGAACTCGTTATTGATAGACAACCATGCACATTAGTTGATTGACAGCAGAAAATTAAATGAAAAACTTGAAAATTTAAGTACGGAGTTTTCAGAAAACTTGAACGGGCAGTTATAGCATTTTACATGTATATATTTAGCTTTTGTTTCAAACATCGTGTCCGATCAAAGGGAAGTTAATTTCAAAGCGTACAAGATGCGCTGTCCTTGAGAAGGCTCAAAATATATAGAACTAGAATGGCCTAGTACTGATATATTTTGTGATAATGGGCTATAGGTAGCTAGCTAGGTAGCTACAAGCATTTAAACCATTAATTTTTCTAAACATTAGTGGTCCATAGAGTGTGAAAGTTATTCCACAGAATCACTACAGTGCAAGCAATAAAACATGGCCATAGACCAATATTGAAACTTGCCCTCCTTCTTCTTCTCCCCTATATATAAATGTTATCAATATCACACATAAACTCATCTTCTCCTTCTCAATTAGCTTTTTTTTTTCTTTTTCTTCAACAAGATTTGCTCCTCCATTTCTTCATAAATGAAAATAGTTGCAATCTTGTTTTCGGCGATTGTTATTGCCTTAGTGATATGGGGGTGGAAAATGGTGAATTGGGTATGGTTGAGACCAAGAAAACAAGAGAAGTTCTTTAGGAAGCAAGGCATGAATGGACATCCTTATAGAACACTATATGGAGACACAAAGGAGATGGCTGACTTGACCAAAGAAGCCAAGTTTGAACCCATTAAACTCACTGATGATATTCTCCCTCGAGTCTTCCCTTTCTACCATCTTATTCTGAACAAATACGGTAAGTTAAGTTGCTTTTAGATCTTCATACATATTCCCATACTACTTCACAATTCAAAGTGGTGATTTGATTTTGTGAGTGTTTTTTAGAGAGTCTAAGTTTTTATGCACTAACGTTCTAAAATGATTAAAAAAAATTTACATTGCGAGTGTATATTACTTAAATTCTTTATTTTAGAAATTAAAAAGTGATAATATCAGATTTGGTTTAAAAAATAAAAATTCTTTAGGCAAAATACAATATCTTTCAAGCTAATAAGCTACTTAAGAAAGAAACTAAAGAAAGAAAAGAATTGATTAGCCGATTGACTGAAATAAGTTATATCTGTTAATCGAAAAGTGTATAAAATATGTATATTTTTTTTGTATATTATACACATACATACAAAAAAAAATATTGTACCGGTTTTTATTTTTTAGAACCTAAAAATATATCTCTCAAAATTTCTTTCTCTTCAAATGGGATGTATGCAATAAGGTGGAAAACAATAAGAGGGTCTCATTTGGAAAATCAATACTATGATTTTGAGAAATGACAGTGATGTCAAAATGGCGATTCTTGTGATGGAAAAGAGTTGCGTAACGGTTACTACTTGAATATGGAAATGATAAGTCAGTGAGTTTTAACCGTACATGTTAATATAAGAGGTCAATCGATCGATCAGTTAATAAGGACTGGCCCTATATGGTTTATGTGCATTGAGGTCCTAATTTTCTTCTAAAAATATTTTTACTCTCTAACCAAACACTAGAAAATATTTTTCACTTACCAACCAAACAAGGCAAAATAAGTGATAAAACAACTTTTTTTTTAAGAAAATATTTTCCATGGAAAATATTTTCTTTCGTACCAAATACACCCTTAGTTCAAAATAGCTGCCGGACTAATTTGCAGAGAGTATAAAATATAAAGGTTATACTAAAAAAATGAGAAGAAAAAATAAAGGACATATCTCCATGTAATAATGCAAAAATAAAGGGACAATTTTCCATTGGAACGCTTATTTAATTTCCCTTTTTTTTGTTCTGACTGTGAATAAGGAACACTTCTATATCTAATGATAAAAAATGTTGCTCGAGAACAAACATGCATCATGCATGTACTGTAGGATGAATCGCGTTATTCTGTAATGAAAATAGGGAACTTGCTGGATAATTTGTTATTTCTGCGTGTTTTCCGGTAGGCAGACGGATTTTAGCTCGAAATCGGATCTGTGTCTGTGATTTGTGGTCCTCTAATTTCATCGAATCATCGATCGTCTTTGTTTGTGGTCCATTTAATTTAATTCCTGTTTTTATATCGTTAGGGTTCAACGATCATGATTCTTAACCTAGTGCTGTAGCAAAAATCTAGGATCGCCAATGGCTGAGTTATGCTTGTTGACTTAGAGTTTAAGTTTTATGTACCAACATTGTTAAATATGTATAATTTAAATCATTTTACTTGTATATGACGGGCATAGTTTTTTTTTCTTTTTCAAATGATTGAAACCCCCTGGAAATGTACCGTGCACAAGGGAACTACCGTGCACAAGGTTCCCACACTGAAATAATTTGGAAATATTTTGTAGAAAAGAAGAAGAGAAAGTAGTAAAAGGAATAATATAAAGGGTTTTGATATTCTCAAATGCAGATTTATCGTAAAGGAAAAAACAAGAAGATTCCGCACTATTTGAGGTTGTAAGAGAAAGTACAAGGCTCTATTCTACTAATTTAGTTTTGAATACGACGTTGAATTAGACATTTCGTGTCCAAATCTTTCTCACATGTGAATAAGCTGTACTGTACTGGCTCTGACTGTACATTATTTGATCATAGTCAATTTGCTTGATCTAGCTTTAAATTATAATGATATATGAAATAGGAAAAAAAGGAAAAATTCTCAGAGTTACTATGTACTTATGTTTATTCATTAAGCAGCACTAATATTAAAGTGGCTGAATTACAGGTAACCACTGTTTCGCATGGATAGGTCCAGAACCCAGGATTTTCGTAATGGAACCAGAACTCATTAAGGAAATAGTAACCAACAACACCATCTTCAAAAAACCAAAACCAGCCCCACTTGTCCAGCTTCTTGTTAGTGGCATCTCAAGCTATGAGGACGAGAAATGGGCTAAGCACAGAAAAATTCTTAACACTGCTTTTTATGCCGAGAAGTTGAAGGTAAATATTTCTTTTTACTATTTCCACTAAACCAATTAAATTACGTACAGTTGTGATGGAGTGGTAACTACCCGTCAACCTTAACGAGAGGTCTCGAGATTAAACCGTGGGAATGGATCGGAGTTGTCTTTAAGAGGAGACACTTTACCTCCCAAAATGAGACTTTACGATATACTGATTAGTCGGCCCCCAAAGCGAGTACCACGCCAGACATGAAACGAGAAACGGAAAAATCAATTACATTAATGTAGATATATTTATACTAAGTTCTACCCCAACTAGATACTACTCCTACTTATTTATTAATCTAAATTTTAAATCTGCCTCTGCTATAGATTTCGATGGGGATATATAAATCTTCTAAATACATTCTTTTTCTGAAATGGTGCTTTGAAAATTAATAGTGTATGCTGCCGGCAATGCACACAAGCTGTGAGGATATGATTAACAAGTGGGAAATTCTACTCTCCGAAAATAAATCGTGCGAATTGGACGTGCATCCATATTTTGAAGATTTAACAAGTGATGTGATTTCAAGAACAGCATTTGGAAGTTGTTATGCAGAAGGAACAAGAATATTTCATCTTCAAAAAGAACTAGCTGAACTCACACGTCAAGCTTTCCAGTCTGTGTACATTCCTGGGTGGAGGTATATATAAGGATTTAATTATACTTACTGCTCCATATTTTACACTATCAGTATATTTTAATAAGTGGTTGCCAATTATCTGCCTCATTTATCAAGTTATTGATCTCACTTATTAGAGTCTGATTTCAACATCAGGTTACCTAATAGATAACACATGTAACTCCAATAATAAGTGGAACGAGTTATTTGTAAAATAAGACAAGTAACATATTACAACAGTTAAACTATATATGCTGCCAATATAAAAATTGATTAACTCACTTATAAGAGTTTAACTTCAATATTAGGTCACCTAAAAAGATAACACATGAAACTCGCTAATAAGTAAAATGAATTATTTGTTAAATAAGACAAGTAACAGTTATATAATTGTACTGCCAGTATAAATATTGTTTGACAGTTGCGATATATACAACACACTGTCTGTAATATCTGTCGTTTTCATGTAATTTATCTTTTAAATGACGTTATAGTGTAAAAATTCTTTTATAGTGCGAGTATGCAGAAGTTAAACTCATGCTAAACGAGAAGTAACAGAAATTTTTGGGGATTTTCTCCAAATATTTCCGCTACTTAGCTGATGTGATTTGCACAGGTATTTACCAACAAGAACAAATAGAAGAATGAAAGCCATTGACAATGAACTTAGAGATATTTTAAGGAAGATTGTGAGCAAGAGAGAAAGAGCAATGAAAGTGGGAGGAGCAAGTGATGAGGAGGACTTGTTGGGTATTTTACTAAAGTCTAATTTGAAGGAAATCGAAGAAGGTGGAAGCAAGTTTGGTATGACAACTGATGAAGTGATAGAAGAATGCAAAGTCTTCTATTTTGCTGGCCAAGAGAGCTCTTCAAATTTACTCGTTTGGACTATGGTTTTATTAAGTGCGCACCAAACTTGGCAAGCTCGTGCAAGAGAAGAGGTTCAGCAAGTCTTCCAGAACAATAAACCAGATTTTGAAGGGTTAAGCCGTCTCAAAATTGTGAGTTATTAAACACTAACAAGAGCTTATTTCCTATCTTTCCTGTTGAAAACACAAATAAGTAGGTAATAAAAGTGTGCTCTCTCCTTAATATCTTAAACTTTTAGATAATAACATAGAATAATAATCCATAAAAAAAAAAAAATCAGGTTAGCAACGTGACAGGTGTAATCAAGACATAATTAAACTTTTAAAAGTGTGCTCTCTCGTTAATATATCTTAAACTTTTAGATCATAACATAGAATAATAATCCATAAGAAGAAAAAAAATCAAGTCAGCAACGTGACAGGTGTAATCAGGATATAATTAAACTTTTAAATGGGATAATTATACACAATACACACTTCAACATTTCGAGTTATTCTTTTAAGGGGTTAGGGGTGGTTAAACAATAAGAAAGATCAAGAATTAAGCAAAATGTAACGTGCAGATCAAAATGGCTACTATAACATAGGAAAGGATTTAAATAATGTAAAGAAGAGAAGATCACAGAGGACCTTGAGCTCGAGTTTGAGCTGCCATGGAGAAGGAGCAGAAGCTTCGAGATAGAGAGAGAACTGAAAGAGGGGAACTTCTGGAAAATGAATTCTATCATTCTTTGTTCACCACAATGAGTACACATATACATGAGTGGGGTCCTCCACTTACAACATGGACCACTAACTAAATGCCAACTAACTGACGGCTAAGCTAGACTAACATTTAACTAATAAGTAGCTGAGCTAAGCTAACTAACAGTGAGGGAGAAATATAAATAAAATGCACATAGCTCAACAAGTAACTTATATACATACTAAAAGAATTTTTGCATTATCACTATATTTTTACCCTGCATTTTTAAGTTACCGAGTTTGGATTATTATAGACAGTTACTTGTTGTCGTGGACTACCTTAACCTGATGGTGAAAAAGTATTTCCACAGTTAATGCACAGAAGATAAATTCTATTGGAAAATTCACTTTTAACTGTCAAATAATTGGATATAATTAACAAGAAACTATAAATAAAATATTATAATCTACACTATGTGCATTGAGAATATACAAATGTTTACACTATAAGATTAAGTTGACCTGTAATAACAGCTAACTGCTTATAACAGCTAAATTTTGTTACCTAAAATAAAGCAGATAACTTGTTATAATATGTTAACTATATATCATCAATATCTTTTGCACATTCATTATTTATGCACTTAACTAACTACACCGCTAACTAGTATACACTTCCATTAGGGTATACTCCCTCCATTCCAATTTATGTGAACTTGTTTGACTGGGCACGAAGTTTAAGAAAAAATGAAGACTATTGGAATGTGTGGTCCTAAACAAGTCAAAAAGGGGTCTAGAGTATTTGTGTGGTTATAAAAGCTTCTCATTAAGGGTAGAATTGTAAGTTTAACCTAAATTGTTTCCAAATTTAGAAAGGGGTCATTCTTTTTGAAACGGACCAAAAAGGAAATAGGTTCACATAAACTGGAACGGAGGGAGTAGTATATTGAATTACTAACAAATCTTATTGATAAACAGGTGAGTATGATCCTGAATGAGGTTCTAAGGTTATATCCACCAGCACCATATTTCGTACGAAAAGCATACAAAGAGACAAAGCTAGGAAATATGAGTATCCCTCCTGAAGTGATCCTTGTAATACCAACAATATTTGTTCATCATAATCCAGAATTATGGGGTGATGATGTTAAGGAATTCAAACCAGAGAGATTTGCTGAGGGAATTGCAACAGCAACAAACAACAGACTTTGTTTCTTGCCTTTCAGTTGGGGTCCTCGTATTTGCATTGGTAATAATTTTGCAATTATGGAAACTAAGATTGCCTTAGCAATGATCCTTCAACGTTTTGCTTTCGAGCTTTCTCCATCTTACACTCATGCACCTACTTATGTCGTCACTCTTCGACCTCAGTGTGGTGCTCACTTAATCTTGCAAAAATTATAGTCCTTAATCTGGATTTGCCATTATTTAGTGCCTAATAAATATTTCTCTATCATTATTTTCCAACTTTCATGCTGTAATCTTCATTTGTTTTAGTTTTGTATGTTTATTTATTTATCTTTTATTTTGGAATGTCTTTTTCGCCATCCAGTTTGAACAGTGCTCAGTAATAGAAACGACCTCCTGAGTTGTGCTTACAATTATTGGTTCTTTTTTGCAGCCTAACTAGCTCTCATGTCTGTTAGTTTACTTAGGTAGGTATGTATAATTTTCAGAACTTCTAAAGGGTACAGTGCAGCAGCCGAACCAGGATTTTCAACAAAAGAAATACAAAATAGAAAGAATTGAACATTTGGATAAGTAAGGGAATTCAATTACCTCTACTATATATGCATAAAAAATATTTTTGACTTTGTATATGTAGTGTTATTTTCAAACGATGAATCCTCTTCCGCCACTTTAGCTCCGCTCATGGTACAGTTGCGCGAGATACTGTGAAGAAAGCACAAAAACTTAATTAATTAATTTTCCACCACTGGCTTTATTTTTACATATATCATGTACTCTACCGTACATGTAATTGAATGAAAATAATTTACATCTCCTAACTTTACTTTATAAATTAAACTGCTCTTCCAACTTTGGACAACTAGACATTCTCCTTCTCCTATCTTAGTTGAGTCTCCAAAAATACTGTTATAAAATAAAAAGTGTAAAGTAAAGAAATCGAAGACAAGTACAAAGAGAGATAGGTATATTATTCAACTTTCAACTGATGTACATAATGAACAGAAAACTCCTCTATTTATAGAAAAAAGGAAGCAGCTACGAGGCTTTTCAGGAAGCAGCTGTGAAGCTTTTCTAGAGCTGCTTGTAAGTTGTATGCATAAGCTGCTCGCAACCTGCCTGTTTAATAAGAAGCTGCTGCAAATCATTTTCTTGAGTTGCTTGCAACCTGCCTCCATCAGCTGCTCGTAGATAAACTTCAACAAAGTACTAAATGGATAATCTTCTTGAGGAAGATTATCTATAGCGGAGTAATAAATGGACATCCATAATATAATAGTTTCATAACACTCCCCCTTGGATGTTCATTAAAAGATAATGTGCCTCGTCAAAATCTTACTAGGAAAAACCCAGTGGAAAAAATCATAGTGAAGAAAAAAGAGTACACATATTTAGTAATATGTATTTCCAGCTGCCTCATTAAAAACCTTACAAGAAAAACCACATGGGAAAAACCTTAGTAAGGGAGAAAGAGTACAACGCGTATTTTACTCCCACTGATGAAAACCTTGTTTCAAATATTTGAGTCTCCGCATTCCAATCTTCGTGTATACCATCTTCTCAAAAATTGAAGTTGGCAAAGATTTAGTGAACAAATCTGCCAGATTGTCACTTGAACGGATTTGTTGCACATCAATATCATCATTTTCCTAAAGATCATGTGTGTAGAATAATTTTGGTGAAATGTACTTCGTTCTATCTCCTTTTATAAATCCTCCCTTCAATTGGGCTATGCATGCAACATTGTCTTCGTATAGAATTTGTGGATCTTTAATCACATTCCAAACCACATTTTTCTCGAATAAAATGAATCACTAATCTCAACCATACGCATTCTCTACTTGCTTCATGAATAGATATTATCTCAGCATGATTTGAAGAAGTAGTAACAATAGATTGCTTTGTGGAGCGCCATGATATGACAATACCTCCACATGTAAACACGTATCTGGTTTGAGATCGAGCTTATGGGGATCAGATAAATAACCCGCATCTGCATAACCAACAAGATCTGCACTACCTTTGTTAGCATAAAATAAATCCATATCAAGAGTTTCCTTTAAATATCACAATCTATGCTTAATCCCGTTCCAATGTCTTCGTGTAGGAGAAGAGTTATATCATGCAAATAAATTAACCGAAAATGCTATGTTAGGCCCTGTAGCATTAGCAAAATATATAGGTGCACCAATTGCATTGAGATAGGGTATTTCATGACCAAGGAGTTCCTCATCCTCTTCTGGAGGTCGGAGCGGGTCCTTATTCACTTCAAGTGATCGAACAATCATTGGTGTACTTAATGGGTGCGCTTTGTCCATGTAAAAGCGTTTAAAGACCCTTTCTATATAGGCAGATTGATGGATAACGATCCCATCTTCTAATTGGCAGACCAAGACAAAGTTTTGTTTTTCCAAGATCTCGTATTCTTTCTTAAGATATTCAATTGCCTTTTGGAGCTGTTCTGGAGTTCCAACAAGATTTATGTCATCAATATAAACAGCAAGTATAACAAATTCTGATGTCATTTTCTTTATAAAAATACATGGAAAAATAACATCATTTATGTAGCCCTCTTTCAGCAAATATTCACTAAGGCGATTATACCACAAGCGCCCAGACTGCTTTAAATCGTACAAAGACCTTTGTAATCTGATCAAGTACATTTCTCGAGACTTTAAACTATATGCTTCAGGCATTTTAAATCCTTCAGGGATCTTCATATAGATTTAATCAAATGAGTCATATAGGTTATGACTTATATCTAAATGGCATGACATCTTCAAGTGTCTGGATTGCTGGTCCAATCCTCACAATCTTTTACAATATTTTGCACTATATTGTATCAAATATATTGTCGATGATCATTTCATATCAGTTCGCAAGCGACATAACTTGTTGAGATCTCATCACTTTCTTTATTTTCAGGTACCTGAACTTCTTCAGGAGTTTCATGAAATATTATGTCGTGGACTCTTCTAGAGCTTATTTCCTCCTTATTATGGTCATTTTGATCATTTGCTCATATCCGTTTCAAGGATTGTTACCTTTGGAACCGATTGGTCTACCACACTTCATGCGTACAGTAAACTCCATCCTTCAGGGGCTTTCATTTTAATAGGAGCATTTGCAACTGAAATATGATATTTAAATTTGGATCAACAAATGCTTTTGGCATTTGACTTGAATTATCTTCTGAGTGAGGATCATACTATTGATAACTCAATTCATATAGCATATTTTCCAGCTGTTTATTCCATTCCCCAAATGTTAGAAAAAACTAACATATATCCCCAATCTTCTTTGGGAAACCTATCTTTGTGCATTGTGGTAGGAAAATTAATCATATACCACACATCAAAAGTTATTAGATAGTAAAAATATTTGATTTCTGATCCTAAACCAATTGTGAGGGGAGACTTATCATATATTGTTGGTTTGATGCATACAAGTGATGCTGTATGTAATTTAGAAAATCTTAGACCAACACATGAAACTTTGTTCTCATAAGTAATAGTTTAGCAATTAATAGGAGGTATTCAGTGCTAAACTAGCTTGGATATAAACCAGCGTTATCAAGATGAATTGTCTTGATTTCATAATCTGAAAATTATGCTCTTAATTGAGAAAAGTAATTTCAAATGCCAAACTGCAGGTTGACAATAATTGCACATGTAACCAACTCATATACGCATCTATAAGTGGTCCACATGATAGGTGAATGGGATCATATTCACCTTTTATATATTTCAGAATTCAGGGGTCTTAGTCCCAACTTTAGCTGGTATAATCAATTTATTATGAGAACAAGCAACACAAGAGAATTCTTGAAGAATCTTTTAGTTCTTCAATTTATAGTTTATACTTATCTGAATTCTCAAATAGCTCATTTAAAAATGGCAAATAAAAACTTCAAGTTTATCATGACATGTGCTATCTCTTAGTAAACTTCTGGTTTACTATGACATAAACTTTTGCATTAGTAAACTTCTGATTTGCTGTGGCTACTTTTGTATCAGCGAATTTCTGATTTATTGTATCTATTTTTGCGTTAGCAAACTTCTAGTTTACCGTGATACATAAAATAGTACAAATTGAAGAATAAGGCGGGTCACTTCTCACATACATAGTATTTTATCCCCTATGATTGTGGAAACATAAAGATTTCCAATCTTCCAATCATTTGTAGTCTCAATATGATAATCATTTTTATTAGTAAACTTCGAGTTTACTACAGTATATGTTTTAACCATAATCATATAATATGGATGACATATTTGTATATAGCTCTTCGAGAGCCTTCATTTATTATCCACAATCTAATATTATTCGGACACTACTGGTGTCATGTGTCTTCTAGACAAACAGTTAGCTCTTCAGGAGTTTTTGATACATTTTGTACTATCAAATATTGCTCAGACACTTCTGGTATCATGAGAGAAAATTATAATTAAATGAACAGTATAAAAGTTTAAGCACAAGAAAATACCTCTTCGTAATATTTTCCTATTTCAGGAGCAAATTTAAAATATAAAATATTGAGTATATATTCCCTCAATCATATTACCTCTTCTGGAGGTGAATTGTAATATATTCAGATCAAAAGCGCGTTCATATTTACGAGCTTTACTAATATTGTCACATTCACTTCAGAGAATGTACTAATATTTATCAAAAGTTCTCATCCTTCAGGGAACAGAACATAATTATCTGAACGTGCATTAATCACACCAAATTGTGTGATGGCTTAGAACCTCTTTTAAGATAATGCTACTTCAGGAGCAAATCGAGGCATACAAGTAATATAGAGAAATTTTCTCTAACTTATCTTCAATTGTAACCATAAAAAGCCTAAATGGTCATTTCTGGTGGTCATAGGCATATACCACTTCCGGTGGTTAACAAAATTTAGTTACAGTGAGGTATACGAAACATAACCACTTCTGGTGGTTAACAAAATTTAGTTACAGTGAGATATACGAAACATAACCACTTATGATGGTTGTATATTTCTTGCAAACTCTGCTGGAGTTTAAGTGGATCTAACAATGTTATCCACTTTATAATCCTTTATTAAGATAATTAGGATGGAAAAAAAAACAAAATAGGTACTGTATACGTTCAAGCGATGATAAAGATACTAAATTAAATATAAGCAAAAGGCTCAAATTACTTTACACAAATTTGGCCACTCCAGACGTAAGTGATATCCACATCACTACTGCCAAGAAGAAAAGCTCACCACCTCAAGGACTATCTGCCTTATGATGCTTGGAATAAACAAGATCTAACCACGGACATAAGAGCATCGCCTTACATCGGAGATGAACACTCAATAGAAATTAAATTCGAAGTAAGTGCTCAAAATGGCAGAGTCTCGTGCTGATAACGTGTTATAATAAAAAGTGTAAAG